GCGGCACGCCACTCCTTGGCGTGAGGGCCGGTTAGGGCCTGGCGCGGGTTCTTGGGCTCGACGGCGCGCGTGGGTGTAGATACTGACGTGTGTAGGCCAAGAAGCTGTAGGCCAGACACGTTGGTGGTGCAAGGGTTGTTTGTGATGAGGACTTCCACCACGTCGTCATCGTCGCTCTCGTGGTTGGGTGACGTGGAGCTTGGCTCGGGTTGGCGCCGTGATGGTCCTGGTGCAGGAGCATCGTCACTGCCATCGTCATCGTCGTCGTTGCGCAAACGAGGCGGCACGCCGGGATGTTCGTCAGCGGGTTCGCGATCGAATGCTGCTGCTGCTGCCTTGTCTTCCGGAGATGCAAAACATTGCATAGTCGCGCGCGACGTTGCGACGTTCGTCCTCGATCCACTGCTTCAAGGTGAGTCGTTCGTAGAAGAGAAGATGTCGCGGGACGGGACGATCTGGTTGGTGTCGATGTCAAGGATGAGCCACCCCTTGTACTCGTTGCTGAGTCCCAGGTGGACTCCCCAGCGCGCGAGGTGAGTGAACTTGCCGATTGTGGCTGAAGTAGGCCGATACTGCACCATACACCCCCAGACCCTCAGCATGGAGGGATCTCCCCTTGAGCCGGTCCACTTCATGTGCGGGGAGAGGTTTTCTCGGTTGGCCGTGGTGGAGAGGAGGTTGTGCAGCCTCATGGCGTGATTCATGGCGTACGGCTAGTACTTCTTGGGTAGGCCGGACTGGTTCATGAGGGCGCGCACTTTCGTCATGAGGGTGCGATTAACCCTCTCTGTGACGCCTTGCTGCTGGTGAGCGTAGGGAAGAGAAATCTCATGCTTGATCCCCTTCTCCGTTAGGACACTCTCTAGTTCGTTGCTGCGAAACTCCTTGGCCCCGTCGCTTTGCCAGATTTTTAGCTTCTTCCCTAATTGCCGTTGCGCGTGAGCGAGCTAGATGTGGAAGACTTCAGGAGCCTTGGAGCTAGCGTCGACATTGGCGATCCAGACGTGGCGTGAGTTCGCGTCGATGAAGGTGAGTGTGTACTGTTCGCCGCTGATGCCGGGCCAGGTGAGCACGATGAAGTCGCTGTACACCTTCTGCAGCTTCTTGTAGCGATTGGTTAGTGCTTGGCTCCAGGGAGGGGTAGACATTGTGAGTGAGGGAGGCTGTGGGACAGACGGTGCAGGTAGTTGGGTGTGGAGTGTTGTGTGGTTCCGTGCCATCAGGACGCAGCAGTGCCCCTGGCAGGAAAACTTTGGCGCGGAGGCAGTTGTTGAGCGTCTGGCGCGACGGATGACCGAGTCGTTGATGCAAGAGATCGTCTTCTGCCCGGATTCTAGAGGTGCGCATGTAGCGCGCGCGATATTCCGCCGCTTCTTCTTCTGTTTCTTGGGGAATTTGGAGCGCTGGTTCTTCTTCTTCTCCTGGTTCTGCTTCGTTGTTCGGCTCCTCTGCTTCTGCTTCTGCTGCTGTCTCCCCTTTTGCAGGTGCCGTCGTGAGGTAGAGCGCAAGAAATTCGCGGTCTGGGATGATGTTGAGGGGAGTTCGCGTTCCTTCGATGAGTCGTGTGAAGGGATCTGGGCGTCAGATTGGCCCAAGTGAGTCACGCAGAGTTGGTGGCACGTTCCCCTCCCCAATCTCCGACCAGGGATCTCTCCAGCGACGAGGTGAGCGGGGAGGTGAGGGAAGGTTGCGTGGGGGGCGTCCAAGCGGAACAGCGACCCGTGGGAATGGTCTCTCAGCTGCCATCTCCCGTTTGATCGCGTCGAGCTCTTCTTGCGTGAGATCGCCTTCGGCGAGATCTCGGTGTTCGGGTTCACCCCATGCGCCAGTTCCCCAGCCTTGAACGGTGCCTGAAGCACAAGTTGCGGATCCCCAAGCTGCTTCTGGGGTTCTGTCATTGCCCTCATTGTTATCTCCCCAACCACCGTTTCGTGCTGATTCCTCGTCCCATCCAGCCGCGATATGTTCCTCATACAGATTTTGTTTCTTTTATGCCTTCACCATATCATCTTCTTCCTTGACACTTAGCTCGTCTTGTGCGTCAGGATCTTTCCAGGTCTTGTCGATCTCTTTGCGGTAGACATCTCGGGTGTATGGGCGCGGACAATTCTCCTCATCGAAGGTCGTGGTGTTTGCTTCCAGAACGAACCGGAGCGTGTCTGAGTGTGGTGTTGGGCGCTCCTGCGGCAGTTGTCCGACCCTGTTGTTTCGTTCACCAAAGATGCGGTGAGTGGTGACGGCGAGCTCCATCTCTGTCGTGCCCGTAAGTTCTGCCTCGGCGCTTTTCGCCTCTTGAATTGCCGCTTCTCTTTCCACTTCTTCTGTGCGGCTTGCCGTGGGTGTGTGACAGGTGGTGCAGAGGCCGTTGATGTCAGGTTGGTGCAGGTTTATCTCACGAGGGTGAGGACTGCGGCGGATCCACGGCCGTCCGTCTAGGTGCTGCCATGACTCCTCGTTCATGAAGGGGAAGTCAAGGGGGATCAGATCCACGAGCTCGTCTGATGAAGCTTGGTAGCTGGGTATGTCGAAGTCCATGACGTAGGTGCCATTGATCGGTATTTTTGCGAGGTATTTTTGCGACTCGGGGTATTTTTGCGACTCGGGGGAAGTGTCTGAGGGGGCGTAGGTGAGTATGAGGTCGCGTGTGTCCGGGTCTCAGGCTTGCAGCACCACGATTCCTTGCGCGTTGGCGCGTAGTTGCTCATTTTTTGCAACGGTGACGTAGGTGGTTGGAGCGCGACTGATATTCGAGATGTATCGAACAAACCCCACCATGTGCTGACCGAAGCAGCTGTCCAGGTACCAGGTGTTGTGGTTGTCGACATTGTTGTTGCGCAGAAGTAGCGCGAGTTGTGGAGTCACCAGCGTTGCCTTGTAGCGTCTGTGAAACGACGGGTCTTCGTCCTCCTTCCATCCCACAGGTACGAAGCGCTGATGCTCGTGAGGCGGGCTTTCCCGCAGCTGTATTGGCTGACGCCAATCTTGCTCGTCTTCGTTATACAGGTAGTAGTGGTCTTTTGTGAGGCGGTTTTTCCACCCTTCGTCAGGTTGAATGCGCCCGCCGCGAGTTCTTCCTTTTTCGTCTGGTTCAGCAGCGCGAGGGCAACGCCTTATCCTTGCCGTCAAACGCGGCAGTAGTCTTGATTTTTGAAACACTGAGTAAGCGTGCTTGTGCAGAGTTGATAACTTTATCACTTGGACGGGGGGCAGTTATTGATTTGTCTGTGTCGAGGGAGCAGGTGTGCGCGGCGGTATCGCGGCTTTAAGTAGCTGGTTGTCTAGGTTGAACTGGTTGGGAAGAGGTTCCCGCATCGCCTTTGCGCAGTTCTTGGAGTTCTTTCTCCATAGTTGATAGTCGCGAAAACAACTACTCGAGTGCGGCAGTGCTGATCGTGGTTGTCGCCTCATTTGTCGCAGCCGGGTTGGTTTGTCCTTCGGCCGTTAGATTCGCTTGGCCTCCGGATCCTCCGGCCATCTTGGTCTTGGAACGTGTGCCGCTCGCCAGATCTTGGTTTGGCGAATTTCACGGAAGTGACATTGCGAAGAATCCCTAACTAGCTCTCATGCCATGTTACAATCCAAAGTGGGACTTAGAGAAGGATCGCTCATGGTTGATCGCAGGGTAGTGTTGCAGCGGAAGTGTTGAACCTTAGATCAGAATGAACGTAAAATGACTGAGATTAATAATAGCATGCATACATCGAGATTATTTAGGAAATACAAAGGAATGCAAAACGACCTAGACTAGCCATGTACTCTAAGTTGTAGATTCCCTTGTTGCAGCGAATTCAAACCGTGCGACGCGGGAACCCGTTTCAAATGTTTCTGCCTGCATCGGTCTTGGTCAGACGGTTGCTGCATCGCTTCGACTCTTCAGACTCCTCGACTTCGTACTCGGTAGAGTCGGCTCCTGCAGCATACAGGAATGCCTTCATATAAAACTTCATATCGTAACAGTTCCTACCACAGGTCTTCCACTGCTAAAACTCTAAGGCAATTCTAACCTATCGAAGATCCTCACTATAGCAGGGTACAATTCCCTTATTGCGACGAAATCCAACCGTGCGTCTCCAGACGGTTATGAACCTGTTCCCGCCAAATCTTCGCCACTGCAGCTGCCCGATGTTTCTGCTCCGACGGTCTAGATCTGCCTAACCGCACGCGACTCTTCAAGTCATTTCGATTTTCGGCCTTCGTACTCGTTTCTGCGCTCTTCATTTTTGCTACTGGCAGGAATGCACAGTAGTTTCTCATTTTCACTATTTGTAACAACAAGGACCCTGGCTTTACATGGTGAAGTCAGGTGCGCTGTAAGGAATTTGAAGTTATTCTTGAGAGTTTTGTATGATATGAAGAAAAAACTATTGTAGTAAAACGGATTTGATGTGGCTGAAGAGCATTTTCTATCGTCGTCTGCAAACGGTGCCGTTACCACCGAGGATTCGGAATGCCCCTCGAGCTCATCAGACCAGTGAATGCTATCATCGACTTGTCGCTATAACAGCTCTCGATACGGTCAACAAAAGTTTGAGCGCCACCCGATACTGTCACAGACGATAACCAGGGCCTATCAGTGTCGGCTTTTTCTCGCTCAATCAGCGCGTGGCGAGTCATCGAAGGGTGAGGCAGGTGGGGCGCGGCGTGAGGGAAGGAACCTGAGCGGCGGGCGAGGGCGCTGGGAGGCGAGAGAGAGTGGAAGCGGAGAGACTTGTGAGTTTACAGAAGTAAATCAAATATAGGACAGGATTGAACGGCGGTGAAGGGGCTGGTGTGTGCCGTTAGGCGAGGAGGAGGCGGTGAAGGGAAGAGGCACGAAGAGAGGTACAGGGCGTGCGTGCAGAAGCTGAGGAAGCAAGCGGAAGGCAGGGAGGGCGCTTGACGGCGGGTCAAAGCGGCAGCACGCAAGGCGTAAGGCGGAAACCGCACGGCGCAAGGCACACGGCACAACGCGCAACGCGCAAGGCGCAAGGCGTAAGGCGCAAAGCACAAGGCGCAAGGCGATGGCGGGCGATTCGGGCGGGGAGGAGGTGGAGGTGCTGCTGCTGATGGCGGACAGGTGCGGGGGGGGTGGGGGAAACTGTAGGGCAAGTCCCAGTGTTGGGGTTAGGGTTAGGGTTGGGTAAGCAAATCGGTGTGGTAACCACAGGAGGTGGAGGTGCTGCTGCTGATGGCGGACGGTGAGGCAGGGGTGGGGGAGCCGGATACTGGCTAGCCGTCGAGTTAGGGTCAGGGTTAGGGCTAGATTTCGAGTTGGTTTTGTGTAAGCAATTCAGGGTAATAATCACAAGAGGTAAAAGTGGTGCTGCTGATAGCGGACAGGTGCGGCAGGGGTGGGCGGGAAACTGTATGGCAAGTCCTAGTGTTGGGGTTGGGGTAAGCAACTCAGTGTGGTAACTGCAGGAGGTGGAGGTGGTGCTGCTGATGGCGGACAGGTGGGGTGGGGGTGGGGTAGCCGGGTAGAATTAGTAGGCGTGAAGCGGTTGAGGGAGGTAACTGCTCAATGCGATGGTGCAAGGGACAAGTGCGAGGCGATGGTGCAAGGGGCAAGTGCAAGGCGATGGTGCAAGGGACAAGTGCAAGGCGACAGGGGCGAAGGGGGAGTTGGGAGGATGGCAGGGCTAGCGCTAGGGTTTCGGATTTGATAGGAAGTTGTATTAGGCCTTGTACATATATTGTAGCAACCTATACTGGTACATTCGTGAGTCTCATCTTAGGGTTGGCTTGGCTGTTCAGGACGGTAACGAAGAGGGGGGAGAATGTTTGAGTCGACTTTGATTACAGGTGGGGAGGGTACTGTTGATGGCGAGCAAGTGAGAGGGGCGAAGGTGGACGAGGAGACACGTCTTCGGGCGGCGACAGGGGCTAGTGAGTGGCGAAAGGGGCTAGTGAGTGGCGACAGGGGCTAGTGAGTGCGACAGTGGCTAGTGAGTGCGACAGTGGCTAGTGAGTGCGACAGTGGCTAGTGAGTGCGACAGGGGCTAGTGAGTGCGACAGGGGCTAGTGAGTGGCGAAAGGGACAAGAAAGAGAGGCGGTAGGTGGTGGGACGCGGCGCAAGGAGATGCAGAAAGGTACTGCAGGAACCTCGTAAAATCTTCTCCACCCTCACCCGCTTTCGCTGCTCCCTATCACCCTGCCTCCCTTTCCCGTCCAACTCGCATCTCTTCCTTCCTTTCCTGCTCGAGAATACGACTTTTTAGTCAATGTGACTTGCCTGACAGGTTGACTCAATCAACGCTCACCTCCCTTCGCTGTCACTCTCTCCAACGTGTATGAAGAAGTGTTTTGAGACGTCTCAAAACACTACTTCATACTCGAGAGGACGACTTTTTAGTCGATGTGACTTGCCTGACAGGTTGACTCAACGCTCACTCACCTCCCTTCGCTGTCACTCACCTCCCTTCGCTGTCACTCACCTCCCTTCGCTGTCACTCACCTCCCTTCGCTGTTACTCTCTCCAATCCTTCACCACCCCCTTCAACCCCCGATCCATCTTCTCTCCCCACTCCCCCCCCAGAATTTCTGTAATGTCGATCAGCACTCACCTCCATTCACTGCTGCTCACTCCTCTCTCCATTCCGTCCCGCCACCCTCTTCAAACCCCCCATGTCGGGCTCCGCACCCTCTCCTGTACTCTCCCCACTCCCTCCCCTCTCCCAGCCGAGCATCTGAGCTAGTGTGGGTGAGTTTGAAACCTTAAAAGCCTGTAGTGTCAACCCAGCGCTCTCCTTCCTTCGCTGCTGCTCTTTGCATCTGCACCCCCTTGTTCCACCAACCCCATCCCTCCATCCCACTCTCCCCTTCCTTGTTTCTCTTCCAACTCCCTTCCCTGATCCCAGCCGAGCGTGTGAGCTGGTGCGAGTGGGGGCGGGGCTGTAGGAGGCCTATAAATTTTTCTCAAGCCTCACCCCTCCCTCTCGCTTTCCCTTCGCTTTTCTCTCCCCTCTCCCTGCCTGATCCCAGCCGAGCGTGTGAGCTGGTGCGAGTGAGTGCGGGGCGGGAGGAGACAGCAGGAGGAGTGGCACAGCAGGTGCTGAGGGATCAGGGCGTGGCGCTGGCAGCAGGGGGGACTGCATCGCTGGTGTTCAATGGGGTGGAGGTAAGAGCACTGGCTGGTGGAGTGTGGTGCAGGTGGGTGGATATGAAGGTAACAGCACGTGGTGACGGCAGGAGGAGACAGCTGGACGCGCAGCAGGTGTTGCGAGATCAGGGTGTGGCGCTGGCAGCAGGGGGGATTGCATTGCTGGTGTTCAATGGAGCGGAAGTACAAGGAGTTGCTGTGTGATTGAGCACGTGCCGTCTTGCTTGAACGACCACACGCTCTTCACTACCCTGTAGTGTATTTTACTCTGCTTATCCTCCTCAGTTGAATGATTTATCATCACTTGCTTTTAATCTCTCAACCTCTTTTTATCCCCCTACCAGTGAAACTGTATGTATGACTATGATTCCATACATGGTGCTCGGTCCGGTTTTACGGGCTCTCACCACTCTTTGAACCACTTTGAATCACTCCCCACGGCTGTGCACTGTCTCCCTGTGCGCCTTTTGCAGTTGGATGAGCTTTCCACTCTGGATCAGTGCGGCATTTGATGTGCTCCTCTGGTCATCGCACCACATTACTCTCAACCACTCTCCACCGCTTTGCACCTGTCTCTTCCTCTGACAGCTGGATGAGCGCTCCACTCTGGATCAGTGCGGCATTCGATCCGCTTCAGGGCGGGAGAGGTGAGGGCGGTGCGGTGGAAGGAGAGTGAGGTGAGGGCGGTGCGGTGGAAGGAGAGTGAGGTGAGAGGGTTGGGAAAGGGGACAGTGAATAGGAGGAATGAGAGTATGCAGACGGGGAGTGCCGCATGTCTCTCCACCACCCCCTCCTCCCTCCTTAGTGTCCCCACCCCTCTATTATCCCACACCATTGCCTTTTGAGTATACCATGCCATAAACCACATGCTTTTCATCTTGGCCCCTGCCGTCCTCACCATCGTTTGACCGTCTTTTGAGTCGACTCAGTCCGCCTTCTCGTCCCCAACCTGGCAATTCCCTGTTTTCACTTAGTCTCCCTCCCTCCCACCCTCTGCATCCCTCTCCTCCCGTCCCTCTGTCTCCACCCATCCCACTCCTCGTTCACTCCACCACCTCCTTACCAGCTGGGTGCCTCGATTCCTTTTCCCCAACGCGTGGCACATGCAGTCTGTGCCCAGGAAACCGCCAGTCAAGGTAGGGCAGAGGTAGCCACAATGGTAACTCTTCAGTCAACTCAATATTCACCTCAGTCAACTCTAAAGCCACCTCAGCTCAATTAAAAGTCAGCTGGGTACATCGACTCCTGTTCCCCAACTCGTGGCAGTCTGTGCCCAGGAAACCACCAGTCAAGGTAGGGCGATAGTAATTTCAATAATAAGCACTTGTGATGGTGCTTAAACGGTGACATGCAGCAGTTGTTGGATTAAAGCGACCAGGAGGAAGATAAAAACACCAACTGTGAAAAGACTCATTCAGACCATCGCTCTGGACAAACTCTCACTAACACTTACTAATACTTTCCCAACTGCTTTTTCACTCTTGGGACTCGGGATCTACTCATTTCTCACATGTGGGGGTTGCGGCAAGGCATGGAGGGTGGTGGCAAGGCATGGAGGGTGGTGGCAAGGCATGGAGGGTGGTGGCAAGGCATGGAGGGTGGTGGCAAGGCATGGAGGGTGGTGGCAAGGCATGGAGGGTGGTGGCAAGGCATGGAGCACTGCTTCACCACAGCAGCTGCCCTCCTCCCAGCGCTCTTCCTTCTCAGCCTCTCCGCGCTTCCTTCCGTCCCCATTTCCTCACCTCCATCCCCATTGCCTCAAACCCTCCAGCCAACAGGTAACAGACCCCGCAAGGCACGCAGCACCGCTGCAACCCCTGTCGTCGTCAGTGCTCTCACTCCTCCCAATCCCTCCCTGCTTCCTTCCATCTTCATTGCCTCACACAACCCCTCTGACGTGTACCAGGCCCCACATGGCCTGTGGCAAGGCACGCAGCACTGCCTCAGCAAGTGCGATCCTCAGTGCTCTCGCTCCTCCCGCTCCATCCCTGCTTCCTTCCATCCTAACTACTTCACACACACTCCTGTCGCCAGGTAACAGACCTCACGTGGCCAGTGGCAAGGCATGGAGCACCACCGCAGCCCCTGCCGTCCTCAGTGCTCTCGCTCCTCACTCGGCCGTTTGACTCTGTCCCTGTATGGGCACTCTTCCTCTGCCTCTTTGTTGCTGGCCTCTTCGTTTCACAATAACTGTAGCCATGTGGAAAAAACGGTCTCTTCCTGTTCATGATTTCAAACAGGGTGTCAAGAGTAGCCCAAACGTATGTGGCACATCAGCTTTGTAAGAAGCATTCTTGATCAGCACATGCAAGTTTCTTAATTTGGCCATGTATTTGGCCTTTTTGTTTTTTTTTTATGGAATATCACCGCCCCAGTAGCACAGTGGTAGTGCGTTCGCTTCGTAAGCGAAAGGTCCAGAGTTCGATCCTCTGCTGAGGCAAGTTACGTACTTGGTAGTATAACTCTAATTAAGTGATCTAATGCAGTTTTGTTGTATAGTTAGGGTATATTCCTGTGTGGACATAGGTGTCTCAACTGCCTTGAATCGCTTATAAAGAACATAAACTTTAGTGTGTCACAAAGCCGAGTCGCTTTTCAGCGACCATTACTATTTTTTTATTGGACAGTGTTACACGCTGACGAATTGTAAACCAGGGTCATCACTTTAAAAAAATCGCACGTGATCCCGAGTGTCAATGCACCTGGTCTACCAGTAATGCCAATTTCGCGCGGGGAAAAATCCCGCTTGTCGAAATCACACACCAGCCAATCGGTTGAGTAAACGGGTGTACAGTAATCTGTGTCACCCAATCAAATGTGTCCAACAGTTCATTTCGCATGGTCGCATAGTTTCGAGATACCTACATTCAGTTTTTGTATCGCGACATCGACAAAATGTTTCGACGCGACTCGGAAAAAGGGGGATTCAGACATAAATGTCCCCACAGGAAAGTACCCTTAGAGTCACATCTGATAGACCAAGTTACGGTTAGCATTCCTTATCGCGCATCTCAACATCACCTACAAGACTGTCTGAATGAGGAATGAATGATGCATTGATGTTGGTTGGGGTACATATAACAAACCCTAACTTCTGTACCCCCTAAGACAAACCTCACTACATGCTACAACATTTGACACACCCCCATAGCCTAAGTGAGGAGTGTCTAGCAAAATCAAAAGAGTACGGTCACAAGACCAGTCCAAAAGAAAACAAAGCTCAGGGTGGATCACAACGTCACCACACTCTCTGAGCACAAGCAACAGTGGCCACAAGGCCAGTCCAAGAGATCACAAGTATATATAGCAAGATGTCAGAATGAAGAATGGATGATGCATTGATGTTGGTTGGGGTACATATAGCTAACCCTAAGTTTTGTACCCCCTAAGACAAACCTCATTATAGGCTACAACATTTGACACACCCCCATAGCCTAAATGAGGGGTGTCTAGCAGAACCAAACGAGTACGGTCACAAGACCAGTCCAAGAAACGAAGCTCAGGGTGGATCACAACGTCACCACACAGTCTGAGCACAAACAACAGTGGCCACAAGGCCAGTCCAAGAAGTAACAGAGATATATAGAAAGCAAAGTAAACAGTACACTCAAGTCTAAGCAACACGAGAACCAGTGTCAACAAGGCCTAACTGCACACAGCACCTCTGGTGGTCACAAGGCGGAAGCGCCTTGGTGAAGATGTCTGCAGTGTTGGCCTCGGACTCCACAAACTCAAAGCGAGCCTGTCCACGCCTCTGCAACTCTCGCAGAAGAAAGTACATGACGTAAATGTGCTTCACTCTGCTCTCCAGTCGTGGCTCTCGACAAAGGAGAATAGACGCCTTGTTGTCAGTGAACAAGGTCGGTGCAGAGCTCGGCCGCTCACCAAGGTTGGTGAGCAAGAACGTCAACCAACGCAGCTCCTGTGCCGCCATGGCACCAGCGTAGATCTCAGCCTCAGCGGTGGAGGTCGAGACCGAGGAGGAGCGCGTGGACCGCCACGAAACAGCTCCAGAACCCAGACTGAAACAGTACCCCTGAGTAGACCTGTGAGTCTCAGCGTCGTCAGCGTAAGAGGAGTCACAGTGACCAGTAAGTACGACAGACTGCTGCCCTCCAAGAACTAGCCCCACGCCTGATGTCGTCGCTAGGTACTTCGCCACCCTCACAGCTGCTGTCCAGTGAACAGGGCGGTGTCTCCCTGGCGCAACAAAGCGCGCAAGAACGCTGAGAGGGAAGGCGAGGTCCGGGCGAGTACAAGTCATCAGGTACATGAGGCAACCCACAAGCTCTGCGTAGGGACCACTAGGCTCGAACGGCTCGTCAGGAAAGGGTCCAGTGAGTCTGTGGTCAACAGCAAGAGGTGTGCGCTGTACTGTGGAGTGCTGAAGCCCGAACCGCTGAAGGACCTGCTGCACCATGTGCGACTGTGAAAGTGTAATGGTGCAAGCAGCTCTGTCCCTGGTGATCTGCAGGCCAAGGTAGTGGCGCAGCTCACCAAGGTCAGTGCAGGTGTGTCTCTTCTGCAGTTCGGACTTCACGTGTGCCAAAGCAACCCTGTCAGGGGTGGCGAAAACAAGGTCGTCAACGTAGACCAGAACAAAGAAAGGTGTGGGGCCACGACGAACGAACAGCGACGGGTCAGCAGAAGACGGCTGGAACCCAAGGTCAGACAGGGTAGAACGCAGGGTGTCGTGCCACTCACGAGGAGCCTGACGAAGACCGTAAACCGGTCGCCTCAGCCTCCACTGGGTCCCAGGAGGGAAAGAGCCAGTGAAGGCAGAGGGACGACGCAGCCAGACCTCCTCGTGAAGACTGCCCTGAAGGAAAGCAGTAGAGAAGTCGAGAGAGTGTAACTCGTAGTCTCTCTGTGCTACTACGTGTAGTAACACCCGAAGAGTGGTCATCTTCGGGGTGGGCGCGAAGGTCTGAAAGAAGTCAACTCCCTCGCGCTGACTGAAACCTCTAGCCACATAGCGCGCCTTGAAGACCGGGGGAGATCCCGGTGGCCGCTTCACCCTGTAGATCCACATGCCGTCGACTACGTTCGCCCCAAGGGGGGGAACCTCATCGACGTAGGTGCCTGTGGATCTGTAGGAGGCCATCTCTGCGTCCATGGCGGCTCTCCACTGAGAGGCCCAAGGCCCTGACACTGCCTCAGCGTAAGTGCGAGGAGTCGGAATGTCAAGGGCGTCGGGGTCACCCTCAGGGGCGAGGAGCATGGCACAGAGATGAGGGGAAGCGGCGGCCAGGAACTCTAGCTCGAACTGCCTGTCCTCTAGGGCGTCACAGCCAAGGGCAGACACACCCCCGACGGCCAGAGGACTGGAAGGAGGAGCAGCCACAAGAGCGGTGGCGAAGTCAAGGCGGCGGGTAGAGGGGAACTCAGTGACTGCGGCAGTAAGAGCGGACACAGAGGACAGAGAGGCACGAGGGTGGGTAACAAGAGAGGCAAGAACACGAGAGAGAACAGGACGGTACGTGCGGTAGTAGTCAGTGACAGGAGTAGGAAGCGACGCAGTGAGGGCCGACTCAGGAGGAGACGGAAGCACAGACGGAGACGGACGAGGTGGACGAGAACAAAGGAAGGCTGTACGAAGGTCAGTGAAGGGAACAGGAGACGAGGGACGAGCACGAGGGGAGCGACGAGAGGCCCAAGTCTGAGAAGGAGGAGGAGACAACGAAGACTGAGAACGAGGGAAAACAGCGGGAGAGGGGTCAGGAGGAGGAAGCGGAGGACCAGAGACGGGAGGAGAGGGGGAGGAGGAAGGAGAGGGAGAGGGGAGACCAAGGGTCCGAAGACCCGAGACAGGAGGAGGAGACGGCAGCTGCTGCTGCTGCTGCTGCTGCGGCTGCTGGGGCTGCTGCGGCTGCTGCGGCTGCTGCTGCTCCAGCGGCTGCTGCCCCTGCTGCTGCTCCTGCTGCTGCTCCTGCTGCTGTCGCTCCTGCTCCTCGAGCCGCTGCAACTCTCATACACCCCCAGACACGAAACCTCGACGCGACACCAGGGGACCCTGTCCAAAGACTGGTCGGTGAAGCCTCCGGCCGAGAGACGCGTGGCCAGAGGTTCAGCTGGTGCGCGGCGTACCTGACCGCGTATGGCCACAGGAAATGGGGGGCACGGGCGTGAGTCAAGG